GAGCACCAGCGCGACTTCATCGCCCGCGACCTGGGCCCGGCGCTGGCCAACAGCTCCCACCGCCACGTCCAGCTCATCATCCTGGATGACCAGAGGGTGATGCTGCCCTACTGGGCCGAGGTGGTGAGTCCCCACAGCGGCTCTCCYGGCCCCACAGCAGATCTCCCAGTCCTGGGCACTGGTGACCCTTTTCTCCTGCCAGGTTCTCAAAGATCCCGTGGCCTCCAGTTACATCAGCGGCATCGGCATCCACTGGTACCTGGACTTTCTGGCGCCCATCGACCTGACGCTGTCCATCACCCATCACCTCTTCCCGAACTACTTCCTCCTCTCCACGGAGGCCTCCACAGGCTCCTATTTCTGGGAGCCCAGGGTGGTGCTGGGTGGCTGGGAGCGYGGCAGCAAGTACAGCCACAGCATCCTGACGGTAGGGTCTGCTGGGGGCCACGGGCATGCCACCAATGCTGGCCATCCCCCGTGCTGGCCGGTGGCTCAGCACCATCCCCTGCCCCACAGAACCTCAATAACTACGTGACGGGCTGGACYGACTGGAACCTGGCCCTGGACATGGAAGGGGGGCCCAACTGGAGCAAGAACTACGTGGACAGYCCGGTCATCGTGGACAGCAGCAAGGACATYTTCTACAAACAGCCCATGTTCTACCACCTGGGGCACTTCAGGTGTGTTGGTGTCCCGCTGCTGGCTGCAGGTGTCACCTCCCAGCTGCCACACTCAGACYCTGCTTGTCCCCACAGCAAGTTCATCCCCGAGGGCTCGCAGCGTGTCGGGCTGGCCGTCTCCAAGAAGTGCCACCGCTGTGACCTGGAGCACTCGGCTTTCCTGCGCCCYGACGGCGCCGTCGTCCTGGTGGTTCTGAACCGGTGAGTGGCTCCCAGTTCTGCTGCCTAGTCCAAAGCCCCACTGACCCCGCTGAGCCTCCACCTCCTTTCTCTTTCCCCACAGCTCCCCCATGGATGTGTCCTTTGGGGTTTCTGACCCGCGGGTCGGCTCCATCGAGGCCGTGGCTSCCGGTGACTCCATCCAGACGTTCCTGTGGACGCAGCCAGCCTAGCACAGCCACGCCAGGAACGCGGTGCTGGTGGGAGCTTGGGGAGAAGACTCCAAYGAGGCTGGGGCTGCAGCACAGCCCCTGCAGCCCCCTGTACCCCAGGGGACCTGTTTGACCCGAGGGCTGCGACGCCTGTGCTTTTCTAGAAGTTTTCGTAAAATAAACAGGTTTTCTACAAACCCTGACCCGAACCCTTGGTGCCAGCTCAGTGGGCAGGACAATGCCAAGGGCCAGAGGAGGTTTGGGGCAGATGGTACCTTGTGAGCCCCACTGATCCCACCTCCTGGGGCTCCTGGGGCATCCCACGRGGCTGCTGCTGAAGKGACACAGGGGAYTGTCACCCTAGGTGGTGGCATCTCYRTCTGTCTGCCACTGCAGCATCCCCCAGGCAGGGATGGGCCCAAAGCCGGCAGAGCCCAGGGCGCAGCTGCAGYCAGGACACACAGCCGGGATTTAGAGCAGAGCTCCGGCGTCTCTGGCAGCTCCAGCTCCTCCCTGGCCAGAGCAGGCGGCTGTGGTTTCTGCTGCCGGAGCAGCCCTCAGCTCCTGCAGCTAATGGGAACCGGGAGCACGGGGCACATACTTCCTGAGTGACGTTATGGGGGGAGCGGGCTCGGGGAGGGGGGCTGCACTGACTCATTCCCCTCCCACTGGGGCCCCTCGAACTGGGCCAGCACGGGGGAGGCTCAGCAGCTGGCCCAGCACCGCGGCTCCTCTGCGGCCGTGGGCCACGTGGGGCGAGTGGCCAGCAGCTCAGCCCGGGGACCTCGGGCCACCGCAGCGGCAGGGCTGGGATGCCAAACAAGCGAGGGCTGTGTGCCCGCCTGGCYCCACGCCGCTTTTCCATCTGCGCGCTCCCAAACCCGCAGCGGGAACGGCGGCCAACGCCAGCACCGGCCCCACGCCGGGTGGCCCTGGGGACCGAGCGGGCACACGGGGTCCAGGTGGCCGTCCCCGACCCAGCTCCTGGCCCACAGGACACACTCGCAGCTGTGCCAGCTGCAGGAGCTCCCCGGCGCTGGCAGGCGCGGAGGAATGCAAACAGATGTCAGCGCTGGAGGGATCCCGGCTGCTGGAGCGGGGCTGCGGGTGTCCCGCTGGCAGCGGGGAGTGCTCCTGGGCTGGGGACGTGTCCTGACGAGCAGCCCCGGCTGCCCTTGGCACCGATCTCGTGTGCTGGCAGTGCTGCCAGCTGGCAGCAGCGGGGAGGGGAGGCACCAGCCCTACAGCCAGAGGGATGCCACATCAGAATGATGACGCAGGGAAGATGTGGGGCTCGGCCCCACAGCTGCTGGAGAAGGGGGGTGACACTGCCAGGACACCACAGATGCTTTTAGACCCTCTGCTCGGTGCTCAGAAAGAGAAGGATGGGACAAGGGGCAGAGCTGCAGGCAGGACATGTCTGTGCCCACTGCTCCAGCGTGGGCAACTGGGGAAACCGGGGCAACTGGGGCAACTGGGAAAACTGGGAAGAGCCTTGAGCATGCTGGGAGTACGAGAGCAGGAGGAGAGAGGGAGGTTTATTGGCGTGGCACAGGCGCTCCCGTGGAGACGGCGGCGGTTCCTGGTGGGACACCCACAGGGAGCAACGACCCCAGGCTCCCGGCGTAAAAACAGTCAGTCCAGGGGCTCGAGAGGAACAGTCACAGCTCATCCTCACTCCTCCTCCTCCTCTTCCTCCTCCTCCATGGCGATGGGCTGCCGGCCGGCCGGCCCCACGCCGCCGCGCTGGATGGASACGATGCCGCTCAGGAAGGCGTAGCCCAGCATGGCCGCCAGCCCCACCAGCACCGACAGCAGCTGGTTGCGCCGCTTGTGGGGGTCCTCCTCTGCTTCRCTGGGGTCCGTGCCCGCAGCCCGAGGGGCACCCGTCAGGGGGTCACCTGGAGGGGCARAGMAGRGWTRTGGGWGGGAWGGGTCACCCTGGGGATGCACCTGAMGGGGACAGGTCACCTCACCCTGCCGAGCCCCCAGGGTGAGGTGGGGGACAGCCCTCACCTCCGTCCCAGGGGAAGTAGAGGCTGAGGATGGAGGTGCAGTAGTTGCACAGGTTCTGCAGGGACTTCAGGTGCTGCTGCAGTTTCCCGTTGGGCAGCTTGGCCTTCAGCAGCGGCGCCAGGCGGCTGAAGACCAAGGCGTCAAGAGAGGCCGGCCTGGGGCACAGAGAGCCGTGACTGGGCCACTGTCCCCACCCAAAGCCAGCCCCAGCACCCCAGGGGATGACACACGCCCTGTCCCCTGCAAGCCTGTCCCACCCCCAAAGGCTGCAACCCACAGGGGCTGCATCTCCCCTGCAGATAAAGGGTGTTTAACCCTGCTGGGGTGCAGGGGGCTCTCAGAACCCTTCCCCTCTTCCCCTCTGGCCACCTACGAGTCTCCGAAGAAAAACTTCTGGGAGCCGAGGCGCTGGGAGAGGAGTGTCAGGCATTCCCGAGCTTCCCGGTAGAGCTGCAGGAGGAAGACAGAGAGCTGTCCCTTGCCTAAGTGCCAACACAGCACTCAGGGGAAACCCCAGACCCCAATTTGGATTTTGGCTTCACGTGGATCCCCTGAACACCACYGAGCTGTTCCCTCACCTCCTTCTCCAGCTTCTCCTCATCCTCCATGTAGTCATCACCCCACATGAGCTGCAGCCGCTCCAGGTGCCGCTTGTGCATGGCGTTGGGCAGGAAGAAGTTGAGGGGGAAGGGGATGGTTTCCGCGTACCACTTGCGCGTGTGCTCCACGTAGTTCTTGGCATCCACCCAGAAGGTGTGGATCTGTGGTGGACAACGACAAGCACAGCTGCCCTGGAGACCACTGGAAGGGCTGGAGAGACCCCAACCCACTGCTGCCACCCCCAAATCCCGACCCCTGACTTGCCAGGACGCTGCTCCAGGCAGTGCTCTCTGGATCTGTTGGTGGGTGGGGACACCCCAAACCCCAGGTTTTGGCATGGCCCCAAGGGAGCAGACCCCATTCTCCCTTTCCCTGCAGCCCCCCGAGCCTCACCAGTACTGGCAGCAGCTTCTCCTCCAGCAGGGACACGAAGGCCAGCGTGTCCGCGCTCTGCGTGGCCGACAGGTCGTAGTCAGCGTTGTACTTCTGCGGGGMAAACGCYGCGGTCTGATCCCAAAATCCCACCMGTGGGTGACAYAGCAGAGCCCCCTGCTCCCTGAGAGGGGGCTCCAGCACCCCCAGCCCAGGGGAGGGGATGCCCCACGCCTCCCTGTACCTGTTTCCTGAGGTGTGTGATGATCTGCTGCGTTTTGGAGATGGTGCCCTCGTCCTGTGTCCTCAGCGCAGGTAGGTGCCCTGCGGGCAGGGGGAGTGGGGGCTGCAGTGGGGTGTTGGGGGGCACCCAGAGAGGGTGAGGGGTGCAGGGGGATGGAATGGGGGGACACGAGGCAGAGGTGCAGGTGGTGACGGGTGTAAGGTGAGGTGTGGGACACTGGTGAAGGGGAGGGGGTGTAAACTGTGTGATGGGAAATGGGGAATGTGCT